CATTGCGCGCTACCTTAACAACTCAAACAAGTCAATTTATATAATTTCATGTTGAAAATTATCAGATTGATTGTATGGTTCTATTGACAACGGTAAAGTATGAAAAGATTGAATACATTACAGCATGCAATTTTATGTTAGTGAAAGTGACACTAAACATTAATGTTCAATGATGCCATATTTATTGTATGCTCTTTTGTTTAAGCAAACATTATATCCCATTTACGTGGCTACGCCTTATCACACTCTGAATAAACTAACATTTGAATATTACATATCTATCATAACTTTAGTGGTTGCTTGAAATTCGCTTATCAATAATTTTTTTGATTCTGTGTGGAAATTTGTGACACTTGCTCTGAGAATATCAAAAAAATTGAAGGAGTAAATAAGAAAATCCTTCAATTGAATTTAACTTGGCCATACTGCTTGGTCCTTATTTTGCGTCGAAGCTGAATATTCAATACATATGTAACAATGCCAATAAAGCATTGAGAAACAATTTACGATTCAGCAGCAATAACATTTATTACGAACGAATGTAGCATGTAATCCAAACATTAAATAAAGATAATAATGATATTCAAGATAACATAGCTGTTATTTGTACGAATTCTCAAAAACGTTACGTCAAATTGCAGATTCAAGTAGTAAATTGTCATCAAGCTCATATTTGTATGGTCACCATGTATATTTAAATAGTGTAACGAATAGCGCAAGCGTATGTGGCAATTTCCTACACATTTACGAGAGTTAGCCTTGGCCTTTACTACTAACCGGGAACAAACTTGAAATGCCTACCATGCAGATAACTTTATACCATATTTTAACGGTAAGTAATTAATAACATATGACGAATTTCAATTTTCGGCATTATTTGTAACAAGGAAAATAGGCGATTATAATACAGTTTTTTGGTAATTTTTTAATTTAATAGATCCCTAGATTCATCCTTATGAACGTTTGCCATCAGAAAGTAAAATTGCTAAACATTTGATTTGTGATAAAATGAATAGGTTCAGCAAATAACTAGCGCCAGATTTCGTTTTGAATGCAATAATAGATACAGTACATGTCAATTTGAAAATCTACAAGATAATTTCTATCTGTAATAAGATATTGCAAAATATGTAATGTTTACTTGTGCTATCGATTGGGTTTCTACAAGACCAACTACTTTTCCGTTTTCTATGCTTTTGCGTCGGTGGTTCCGCATGCATATAATTCAAGGATGCTGTAGCAAGAGTAAAGATAACAACTCTAAGTGGTTTAAGCTGTCCGCACTACAGCAATCCCACTAACACAAATATATTTCTGTAACGTTTCGTCTGACCAAGGTCAAACTTCCTCAGACATACATATTTCAACTAAAGCAAGAACAGCAATTGCAAGCACATTTATACAATGGGTGCCATGGCAACAAAACAATATCATAACAATGTGAGTTAACGAACCCATGCAGGTGGTGATTGAAAAATTAATTAACAACACTGAGTTTAAATATTAAAAATTAAAAAACACATCAAAGTTTCATGCACATTCATTAAATTGGTGTCATGGCAACATAACAAATCCCATTGTTGTGATTATCATATCCGTAGTGCTTATTCATGTAAAATATCGAGAAGCGAAAAATAAAACGTGACATTTCTCTTCTCACTTTTCAAATTCTATGTGACGGAGAAAATCTAAATACAAATCTATCTACAAAATCAAATAAAAAAGTTTTGTTTTGGTGCAACCGATAAAAGTTTACAACCAAACGACAAAAATGTTCTGCTTCTGCTTTAAGCTTTGTACAAAATCTGCTCTGGAGACTATAATTTTACTTTGGATCTGGATCCTTCGACTTGCAAGTCCATGGCTTATGTGGCTTACATGAAGGAACGTAACCTTTCGGAATAGGATCTAAATTAAAGTCACAATAAAAACACATGTAAAATATATAAGTGAGATGATTTAGGACTTAAGTGAACCCAAGACATACATATATATATATATATTGGTTATATATGAATAGTGCATCTTGAAACTTTTTTAAATAGAATACAAAGACACTACCTGGTTTTTGACAGGTGAATTCTGGTGATGCGACATCCAAGAATGCAGACCCATGCAGACGCATCAAACGATAAGTCAAATGAAACAAGGTTTCGTTCGGGTCCGGGTAGATTCCTAATGTTTTTGATAGCTCCCTGCACAAACATAAAATACCAAAAACAGAAATGTATCTGTACAGCGATATTGAGAGATTATTTAAGGGCAGTCATAAATACATCAACATACTTGCAACGCCATTTGTCGGGGTTTTCTCCTTCACTTTTTGTTTTCCATAAACCGATTAACGCAAGTGACGTTAAGAATTTGTTCTCGATATACAGTTCCCCAGCACGAGTCGTAATTATGTTTTTCATTATGTATTCTCTCATTTTCAAAATCACATTATCGAGTGTAGTGACGTTGTAGGCAGGATTTTGCATCAGACGTAGGCAATGCGTGGGCGGAAGTAAACGGATAGTATTCACTGAAAAATTGCAGATATTTAGGTGAAGTTTTATATTTCGTGAAATCGACAGACTCAATGTAGAAAGATTGGCAGCAAGTACACTGCGCGTACTGTTAAGTTAAATTTATACTTATTTTAGTATCATACTTCCTGAATATTCACAAACCGTTAAATGTGACAGTACGTTGATTTAGAAATCAAAAATGAAGAATACACCAAAAAATGTTTAACATAAACGTAGAGCTTGTGAAAAACCAAACAAATCATAACCGATACACCCTATATACATTCCTACCCCAAAATATATCAATTTCAAAAGCGCATTACGATGTTGTATACCTTGTTACATTTCGTATTGGTTATGCCACGGATTATTGGATTTTCTAACCGAACGCAGTATACTCGGATTAAAATATTGTTTGATCAAAAAGTTTCATACAATTTTGATGGCGACTCTCAATGGGTGAACTAATACTTACTGAGATGGTTTGAATCTCCAAAACTTCCGTCTTCATTTTGTCCAGATATAAATTTTTCAAACAACCAATTTTCAATCGGATATCCACTAACACAAACCGAACCAATCCCAATGGAAAACATTCCGTAGCCAATGGCAGGAAAACGAGCTAAAGTAAAATATCGTTGGATAAAACGTACAGTATATAAGTAATAAATTGAATTGTAATTCAATTATTATCATGACATTAACCCTAGATATTAAATTTATTGCTGTCCCTCTTATTCTGTACTGTTTATAGGTAAAAAAATTCACATTTTGTTTTATGAATAATCTATCTAAAGTTTTTTGAAGGTAATTTTATATGTTTTAAGTGAGTATTTACTGTTATTCGGAAATTGTAGTTTCAATTCTTCCGATACATTTTTCACAAGATCTATTCCTCCGATGTTTCTTTCATTCATACACAAAGATTTTATAGCAATTATGTTCTCTGCCTTTTGTCCCAACGACATTCTGAAAACGAATTTGTAATGAATTCTCATGTTATTGTTACTACGTATATAGCTATTAATATGAATACCTGTCAAAATTCTTTTTTATTTTTTTCACAAAAGATCTTGCTGTTTTTTCTCGACCGAAAAACATTTTTGGAACACTAACTTGGAAGACAATAGGCGTGATAACCGCATCCCATGTCCAATCAGATTTTCGCATTCTCATCAAACGTTTCACGATTTCTTCGGTCGCGAGCCGAACGTCTTTTTCCGATTGCGGATTTTCTAGAATAGTCATATTTAAATATTTTATATTCTCTTGATGATAGTAGTTTTATTTGTTTTGCAGTCCTATTTCATACGTCGCATCTCATTCTTTACATTTGAACTAATGAGATACAAAGTCATACATCTTCATAATATAAATGTATTAATCATGAATCATGATTATGGCAACGAAGCAATTCAGCTACAAATAAGTAACTTCAATAGACTCAATCTTGTATTTTGAGTAAAATGAAAATGAAATAATGTTTATCTTATATTGATAATTCATTAGTATAAATGTAACACCCCACCTACCACAAATTGAAGTTGAATAAGCTGACAAACAAAACGTCGCCAGAACCATCAATGAAACCATAAGAACTTGTGCCAGTTTCATATTCTTGACCGTTCTTGGCTTCTTTTTAACTCACAAAACTTCACACGAATGATTCGAGAGACCAAATTCTATTCTTATATAGCGTTTGCATTACTAATTATTTCCATCGGCAATTTTCATCCGTCGAAAAATTATGTAATTTGGAAGGGTGGTTTCATGTTACCACCATTATAAAATCATGTTGAATAAATTGCTCATGATGCTAAAATAATAATACATCAATCCGTCACAATTAGGATCTATTTGAAACAGAGAAGGATGAATAAGTTTGTTAAGGTCTGAAAAAACAGAAGAGACGTCTTCCGGCACATGTACTTTGAGGGGGATAGATTAGATTACGGAAGGCAATTCTAAATTCATTCATGCGTGTGTAAGATTGTCATGATAGTTCCACAACAGTAAATAAATTGGAATTTTTGGTTGCTTATGATACGAAGTTATGTTGCGGACAACAGCGATGAGTTATTAAACTTTTCACGATAAATCGGTTTCCGTTATAGACGTAGAGTTATCGAAATCGTAAACATAATTCTGCACTACTCATATATCAGCCTTGGGTATCTATATTTTCATTAAGAGTAAATTTCTTTCACGCACGTTGAAATACAAACATTATGAAATTATTTAATGTTTTAAGTGTAGGCGAAATTTCACGATCCCTCTTTCCAGATTGAATTTTGTTTATACATTATTATTCATTCATTATTACTCAGCTAAGTTAACCACGAGAAACAGATTCAGTAATACAGCTCAGTATAATTTTGTCCTGTTTTCAAAATCGAATACAATAGAATTGAATTGCTCAAACTATTTGTATTATAAATCAATAGCGCTGTTGATTTTTACTTATTTCAGAAACCTATTTCAACAGAATACGTTCCAACGTACAATTCTGCTAAGACTCAACAATGGCCTGATCCAAAATAAATTATGCTTGATCGACGCGCCTGTCGAACACATTGACGAACCGCAGTATTGGAAAATTTTCATATTTAAATATGTATATATATATATATTTATAATAGTCGTCGCCTCATGAAATTTACATGTTGTTAATAAAGTTTAAAAAACATCTAAGAGACTACTCCAATTTAGTTTTTTATTCTATTGAGGATATATTCAAATGAAAATACTGTTGATACTTGAAGTTGAAGGAGTTAGACACTGTAAAGACGACGACGAAATTACTCTCGTAGACCAATCATTCTTACTTATCGATTTTTGAAATTATCGAATATGCCTAAGTATCTTCAATTGACGTATCGCTTGCGCTCCTGCGAGGCAACATGTGAGGTATTCAGGCCACATTTGCGGTAGTATGAACGTCAAAAAGATAATAGATAACATCCCTATACTATACGACAACGACAAAAATAAAATTACCTCCAATTGCACAGTTTTGTTTATTGAATATTATTCTAATAACATTGAATATCAAATAATGCTGCAATAACATGTGTATCAGAATAATGTATTAGTTCGATATTCCAAAATTAATTGACCTAATTGAAACGTGTGGTTTACTTATCACACGAGATCCATAAACCATAACAGTAGCATATTTCACAGTTTATATTTCGTTTTATGCTTTTGACGTAATTGGATTTATGGCTTTTCGTAATTTCTGCAGACGCTTCGTTGTGCACAAAGTGACTATAAACCAAGTCAGGACATGCATTGGTAACGTTATAAGCGCTTGTGTGACGATCGTTAAACTGTTGAATAAATAATTCGGACCAAACTTTCGCAGCGGTAAAACGAATGAAAATTCTTCTGAAAAATCAATTTTTCGCAGATGTTTCTCGGATAACTCGGCTCGGCGGTATGGTCAGCAGATAAAAAGTTAGGGTTAAACTCGTACAACTTCACGCGATAAATCAACACCCAATGAGACCAAAAATATTAAACAATGAGATACACATTTTATTAAAAAAATTCCTTATGTGAGTATCGCTATTTGCACAGAACTTATTTTAACAAACTGGTAGAACTACAATACAAATTACACTACAGAAACTTTCAGCAAGGTGTACATTGCCAAAACATATTAAAAAAAATATACTACATGCATGGAATGAAGGGTAACGGCATATATCAAGGTTACAAGAACATCTAATAATCCGGAGTGTACTAAATAATATATTATTGTTTCGACTTGAGCTCTTGCTGCAGTTCTACTAGCATACTGTTTTTCAATAATTTTATTTGTCTCCCCTTTTGCGAGAATATTTAACCTTATATTGAGAAAACGTTTCAAAATTTAAAAAACGTCCTTGTGGCAAGATGGGATATTATATAGTTTCTACTTCGCGCAAAAAACACGATTGCTTTTTTGGATGGGTGGCATAAATATTGGGTAAAACTATTAATTTTTAAATTTTTATCATGTGTGTAAGACCGAAAAAGAGTTAGTAACGATTGTGGGCATTCATGGGGATTTATACTTTCCACAGAATCAAACAAATATTTTGAACCCTGCGTCTTTATAGGGTTCCGCCGGAAACATCAAGACTAATTTTTCACTGTTGGATATCATTAAAATTACAATTAAGTTTTATCAACGAGAACGTGGAAGACATGATGGCGTCGCAGATTACCCAGTAAATATTTTACATTTTCCGACTCAAAAGAATCGAAATATCCTGCCAATAAGTTGATAAGAGCTGTAACAACAGTCGCGGGGACTGGTCTTTACATTTTGTACTTTATAATGTACAACATGATGAAATCATTAGGCCGCACAATGTGCTAGGCATGGGTCGTTTATATTCTATAATTTTCGGAGCAACTGTTGCAACAGCTCGTTAAATCAAGAAAACTTTTCCGAGAAAATTCGGGCATTTCATCAACTTCCGGAATGATTATTGTAAAATGCAGACTTTAAACGTTCGGCATGGTGTGAACTGTGAACAGGTATCACAATACCAGTTCAAATGATACCTGCTTTAAACGTATGCTTTAGGACTTAGGTAGGCTTAACATACGTCCCGCTTTTTAGCATATTGTCCCGTCGTCCCGACAAGTCAAAAAAAGTCCCGCTTTGGCGTTCAGCCATCTAGCATAATACACGAACATTTCTCGTTACTGTTGTTGCGGTGTAGCGCAACGATAGCCTACTTGCTGAAGGTGAATGCGTTATTTTGTTTGTTTCGTTGTTTCCCGCTAACATTGTTAGCGAACGTATCACATGTAAAATCAATTCTAATTCGCCCTGTTCGGACGTTCACGTGAATGTAACATTGAACAACGTCTTTTTGAAGGTGTTATCTACAGAAAAACATGCTTGGCGAATAAGTAACTCTCAATGCTTGAAAATGTCAGACTATTTATTATTCTTTATTCCTTTTACTGTACATAAAAAAAATCCAAATTCGGACCATGTGTGTCGTTATCGTGACTCTCGATGACAACATGGTTAATGAAGACAGCTGGGATGGCTTTAAATGTAGGCCTACGTAGTAAAATCGGAAACTGTAAAGTTGAAGGATCACAGCTGAGGGGTCTTGTCTTTGGAGGCGTCCCGCTTTGAAGTTAATAAAATATGATAACCCTAGCTGTAGGTTAATGACGTTTCACACTTGCGAGGGAAAGCGATATGTGTTTTTTGTGTTTTTCAAAAATAACGCAGAGCTGCTATCGTGGCTATGTAAATGCGTAACGAAGTTATTAGTGAACGTCGTTGTTATAATCCGGCCCGCGATGCTTCACTGAATTATAGTAACAAAACAGTTGTTTTGACGATTATATTCTTTATGTAACAGAATATATTGTGCGACACGTGTGGACTAAATTATATTATAATATAACAAGTATAAAATTCACAATTACTCGTTTAATGAGGTTATAATTTAATTATAATTGGACAAATGGCAACAAATCGCAAAGAAGTTGATGATAAGTGCAAAGGGTTCAATGGATGGAATGAAAATGCAGATGAAGCGATTACAATCTATACTGTAGTTGATAAGAGAACAAACACGAATTTTTCTTTTTAGTAATCACTTTTTAGTAATCATACAACAAGAATTTACAAATGGGTTTGCATTTGAGATCCCAAATAAACCCTAATAATTTCGTCTTCTTTTATTTTGAATACCGAGTGGTGAAAAATGTTCAATATATTGTATCTATTGCATTGTTTGGCCAAACGTGAAGATTTTACCCAATTTAAATATTTTATACATTTCTAATACATAAGGCATTATTTACAATTTATAATCACCTCTTCGAGTCAACAAAAAACGTGAATTGGAACCAACACATTGAATTATTAAATACAAGGGTCCAGAGTGTAAAGATTTTACGTTAACAATAGTACAACACATACACTAAAACTTACCGCTAAGTTTATTGCATTTATTGCAGCTGCAATAAATATCAACACACATGCTAATGGAATCACGTTAACAATTCCATCGTATTTGCATTTTCAGTTAGACTCTCAATGTCGTCTAACAAATTGAAATTTGAACCACGTGAAGGCTGTCAGTGTTTTCTACATATCGTCTAGTCTAGTGTATGTTTATACCACGGAACAAACCAAAATACGTGAATAGTGCACGAAACGAAATATACTTTGTGTAATCTACGTTTTTGCGGAAATCGCATGATAAGGAGGCAATCACTTGTTACAATTTCATTATTTTCTTATTATCCAACCAACAATCGTGTTACACTAATAAACATGTTATTATGGCAAGTAAATAAATTGGAATGTTTGGTTGCTTATGATACGAAGTTATGTTGCGGACAACAGCAATGATTCATTAATTAAACTTTTCAAGATAAATCGGTTTCCGTTATAGACATAATGTTATCGTAATAGGAAACTTATTTCTGCACTACACATATATCAGCCTTATTTATATTTTTATTGAGAGTAAATTTCATTCACGCACGTTGAAGTTCAAACATGATGAAATTTTTTAATTGTGGGTGAAATTTCTCGGTTCCTTATTCCAGATTGAAATTTGTTTATGCATTCAGTTCATTATTACTCAGCAAATTAACCACGAGAAACAAATTCAGTAACAGAGCTCAGTATAATTTTGTCCTATTTTTAAAATCTAATACAACAGAATTGAATTGCTCAAACTAATCGTATTATAAATCAAACGTGCAATTCCGCCAAGACTTAACCATGGCAGGATCTAAAATAAATTATGC